TTACTAAAATCATTTATATAGTTTTAAATAATTTTAACCATTATATATATAATTTGATGTTTAAAATTTTTAACAACTCATGTTAGTATAGGTGGTGGAAGTTTCATTATTATTTAAAGATTGATTGAGGTTTGAATTAACTCTTGCACATGTAGAAAATCTAGTTCATATCAGTTTTATACATGCAAATTAAATTTTACTATTGGTGGAGTATATATCATTTGTCTCACCAAAAAATAAACAATTCTACAGACCAGATCCGTCCGCCACTGCACACCACTACATTGTACTCATCATTATTACAATGAAAGAACTTCCTATCATCTCACCGCATTTCATATACAGGGAGATGATGGTGACTTTGTAAATGATTAGGTCCCTAAAATCACACCATCACTGCACTAGCGTTGCTGTCATCCACTATCTTTCCCTACAATTCAATGTTATATAAAAACACGTTGGGTGTTATATTTCATTTTTTATTATTTTTTATGGTCAAAATTGTTTTGGAGTTACCTCTTGCAAATACGGATATAGCTTCTCCGTATCTTTCTTTAATTTAGAGAAAAATAACAAACACTTTATACTTTTTGTTTGACAAGTCAAATATTCTAACGATCAATATGTGCGTTGATATTTGCTTCCTCGCCTTTTCGCTCTCCCTTTATATACTCAAACCTTGACGGTCACGATTAATGTTGTCTTTACCATCACCAGCCAAGGCAAAGCCCCTCTTTGTTTCTAGTTCTATCCATTTCAACAACTCAATACCTCAATACAGTTCACTCTACTTTCTTATTCAACAATCTCCCTTGCACAAATTATTTCCGCAAATTCATCTGAAGACCGTAGCAACAACGAGTAGTTCTGTTTCCTTTTATCATTTATAGGGCTCCGTCGACGGATCCTTTTGAGGTACTTATAGTTCATGAGAACAAAATAAGCTAAAATCAATTTTTTTATGCTTTTTTTCTTTCGGGTTGATGTAGGTTTTGTCTTGCTGCATTGAAATAATGCATATTTCTCTTTGTACTTGTACTTATAATTACTTTGCTGTTGTACTTGATATATTCTCTGTTAAATCATTTTTTGGGCAAACAAATCTAAAATTAAATTATTGACAAATTGGACGTTATTTTCAAGTTACAAAAGCTTTGGTGCTGTGGCAGTTATCACAAAGCCTGAAGGGGAAATGTAAATGTTTACTTGTGCAGCAATAATTTCAGATTCAGCTAGTATAGGAAGGCCAAGAACCTTTAGTTCGAGCAATGTCCGCAAATGTTTCGACATTTGCCAACTCAAAATATATATATATATATATATATAGTATAGGAAGAAGCCAAAGCCAAATTTCGTCTTTGAATTCTAATATATGCTATATGGAAGGCTGTGGAAGGATAATATATAGTGGGTGGCTGTGATGGGTCATTTGTCCAATCTTTTATAACTGATTATATTATTATAACTACCTTAATGCTTTTGAAAATAGAATTTAAAGTTGACAGGTAATTTTACCTCTCAGCTATTCAAGCAAAAGCATTTAGTAACTTAAACTTTCTTTTGATGCAGTATTAACTCCAGCTTTTAAAAACAGTGCAATATTATTCTTACCATTAAGAAATGTTAATTTTAATGGTTAGTTGACCAGAGAAATACAAAAATGACTTAGAAAATTATGGAAAAGAACCCCAACGATATGAAGAGTAATATTGATCAAGTTCATTAAATTTGGTGTTGTTGCTAGTAAGTTATCTAATAATTACCCAGTAGTAAGTCAAAGTGGTTGATTAAAATGAATATTTGATTTTTACATAAATACAAAATAACATTTGTTGCAATTTAAGAAAACTAATCAGTAATTAATTTTCACACACACATAAAAGTTGTTTTTTATATTTTTTATTAATTAATTGTCAAAGTTAACATTTCTTTATAACAAGGGAATATTAACACAATTTTAAAGTTGAAAGGAAATAGTGCACCAAAGGAAATAATGCCATATGCTTTTGTGCAATAATTAAGAGGCAAAAATGCCCTTTTTAAGACATGAAAATATAGATCCCAATCACATATAATATTGTCTGCCTAACCAAATGTGAAATAAGTGGTTCCGATGGACTTAATAATTGCTATTGGCTGCAAAAGGTTTTGGATGGCGATAACAACTGATATTAAAGCTAGCTCTAGTAAGTTAAAAGACAACGAAGTCATCAAAGGTATGGAACTTGAGTTTTACAATGCTTCAGTGAAAGGTAACATTGATGCTTTTAAGGGAAAGGATGGTGAGCAAATTGGGTCCATACTAACCCCAAATGAAAATACAATCCTTCACATACACTTCACAAATAACACTGACAATGTATCGCAAACATTTGTGGAAAGACATGTTAGGCACGTGTCCAGCACTTCTCGCAAAGGCCAATATCAAGGATGAAACCATACTTCATATAGCTGCAAGGTATGGACATTGTGAAGTAATGAAAAATATCATTAAACATGCAAAAGTTCTCTCCTAAGATGACAAAAATGATGTTGGAGCTGAGAGAGGACTGATAAGAGCTATAAATGATAAGGACACAGCCTTACATGAAGCAGTATGACATCATCAAACAAAAGTTGTTGAGCTCCTGATAAAAGAAGACCCAAATTATCCGTATTTTAATAATAATGATGGTGAACTCCACTTTACATTGCTGCTGAAAGGGGCTACTGTGATGTGATAAATACAATATTGAACTACAGTAATTCACCAAGTTATGATGGCCCCAGTCATAGAACAGCTTTACATGCTGCAGTACTTCACAGTAACAAAGGTATTCTCTTGAATTATAATTTGCAATTTATCATTTAGAATCATGAGATTTTGATTTGTGTTTCAAGATGATTTCACAGGTAATAAACAGACATGCTTATTATAATTTTTTTAAAAAAATAAAATAACAACTCATATGCCGGAGATAAAATTGTAAAAATATGGTTAGGGAAGAAATGCTTACATAAATAATAGTTGTGTAATATTGTAATCCGTTTTTAAGTTCCGAGTAGATACCTGCTGGCACCCCTCAAAAAAATTCTAGGATATTTTTGCCTTTAACCTAGAATATTTGAAAGAAATATGTTATATGATCAATAAATAAAGTTTCCACACAAATTAAAGTATGATATATAGTTTTATTACTACACTTCAAAGAGCTTAAGGTAAGAAAGAAGCCAATTTCATCTAAATAAGATGGATGGTGTTTGTTGTTGTCGGGTTACAGGAATACTGTTGAAGTTGTTGACAAGAAACTTATCAGCAACAAAACAAGCAGCAGATGAAAATGGCTGGGTGCCACTTCACTTGGCAGCACTTTATTTAAATTCAGACGCATTGCTAAGGAATGATAGAAGTACGGCATACATGAGAGACAAGTGAAGGACTGCTCTTCACTCTGCACATGTCTGAAAATAGATGTAATGACGAAGATAATAAAATATTGTCCAGATTGCTGTGAATTGGGTCGATGAAAAGGGCTTCAGTGCTCTTCACTATACTACGTCTAGAAAAACAGGAGTCCCTTTCTATAGTCGGAATGCAAAAGTGATTCTGAAAAATGCTTCATAAGTAACATGTACAATGAGAAAGACAAAAACGGGAAGAAACCCCTTCACTACCCTGCTTGTCAAGCTTCCACGTGGCAAGAATTTGATTACCATGTTCTTATGGAAAGACAACACACGAGAGTGAACACACTGGCATTAAATAAGCATGGTCAAACTATTCTCGATGTTGCGGTTTGATGATTTGCCTCCAACGTCAAATTTCAAGGTAACAAAACACATCTAGTTACAATTTCTTGTTTTTCAGAAGAAATATATGAACTTATTGACTATAATTATTTAAATATTCCATACGTATGCAGCCCTTTTCCTAAATACATTATCAATTTGATTTATAGCTAATAATAATAAGAGGAGTAATTATTTAATGGAGACTAATATAATAGATATACATAATTAACCATGTTGCATGTTTAGCTGCCTTATTGTCAATACAATATAATTGAACATACAAGTGAATTAAAGTTATTCAATACTCATCCATTCAAAATTGCAAGGCACTTTTTAGATTTTAAGACGTAATGATTGTCTTTTTTCAAAAATAACTCTATTAAATAAATCACTTTATATTTTTTTTAGTGTAAAACATCTTATTAAAGATATGATTACTTTAAAAAAAATAATTACTTTATTAGGGATAAAATTCAATTAAAATATCTTACATTTCTAAACTAACAGGAGAAATATACAATTTCAGCAATCCATCTTTGAACGTGAAGTGTTTTTATAATAAATATCCTAACATCTTTATATTGGCCTTGCACTAGTTACCTTGGTTATGATCTAGGAAATTAGATTGATTATACAACATATCAGAAAATGCTGCTTAGAAATTAATAATTGAGTCTCGGTAAAAATTAGAAATGATATGACTTGTTGCATTCGATGGCGTAGAACCCAGTTTTACAAAATTGCGAACTATTGGAGCAAGGTTGAGCGGACGAGTTATGGACCGGCATGTTATAAGAAAAAAAACAAGAGGCGAAGACATGATTCAACTGATGATGAAATGAGAAAAGATATAGTAGAGAGAGAAATGAAATTTATAGAATAAGAAGGGAAGTATCTGTAGTGGCGGCATTAATTGCAACAGTAACATTTGCAGCAGCATTTACGTTACTGGGGGTGCCATAGAAGAGGGTGAACATCAGGGCTCTCCCGTATTGAAGCATAATGAAGGTTTCAAGGTTTTTTTTTGTGACAAAACTTTCTCTCCTTCCTTTTTCTCTGTTCTGCTATCCTCTTCTTACTTTTCTTGTCAACAATGTCACAAGGGTACGAAAAGCTTCTGGTGATATCCGTGCTTTTAACTTCGTCAGCATTGTCACTCATGATCATAGCATGTGGGACGTGCACATTTGCTATCTTCGGTGTTCCCCCTATTGGTCGTTATAATGCTTTACATGGTATTGGTCATTCACGCCACCACTATATGGTGGAAAATGATTAAGTTGAAATATGTTACCGAAAAAAGCATGGCCCATACTATGATCCTGAAGGCTCTCTTAAGAGATTAAAGAGATATTGTCTGATAGTCTCTAAGATCCCCACCCAAAAAAACCCGGTCCGGGGGGGGGGGGATAAACCATTTTATGTACATTGCCTATATTTCCTATTTCATTCCTTGTCTCTGGAATTCTATTGATATTTTTACTACACCCATTTTATGTACATATCCAACCCATGTGCCAAAATAATGGCCAATAAAATATCGCAGTGTTAATTAGAGAATTTTCTCAAACAATTATTCTATTAATTTTGCATATTGTTTGTTTAATATTTACACAATTGTGCTATTTCATCACTACTGCAAAAAAGACCAAAGTTCACTATTATTTTTTACCTTCTTTGACAGTTTTTAACCACCAATTAAAGTGATGTCATATACTAAAAGCCCTTTTACTTAATGGGTTATTAACCATCAAATAAGGGAGGCTCTTACTTGAAAGTTATTTGAAAACAACCATCAAGTAAAGGTTTTCAGGTTTGGCATTTGTTGATTCCTTGAAAACAATGCTTGTCGGTTATTTCGAAATAACCATCAAATATCTCATATATTAGACAGTTATTTCATAATAACCGTCAAGTAATTTTAGTAAATACCAGCTCTTGGTTCAGTAAAAATATACCATAATTATTTAATGGTTATTATAAAATAACCGTCAAATTTATATATGGACATACTTGATGGTTAATTAAAAATCATGGTATTGGTTTATTTGAAATTGAAAATTCATATTAAATGTTAGACACATCATTTTTAGCAGATCCTTGACTCATTTCAAATCTATAGAGTACTCCTTTAATGAAAAATAATAGGATGGCCTTTTACTTTACCAATCAATACAGCTTATTCTTTACGAAAACAACTATATGCTACCCATACAAAAATCCAGTTTTTATGCTCTTACTATAATAATTTGTATCTTGAGCTAGAAATATTCGTTCTTCTCATTCATCCTTACTTACTTAAGATAAAATTATATAAAAGTGTGTGGTCTCCATACAAGTCCACCATTAAGTTTCTAAAAGCCATAATCATATTAAATCATTGTAAAAATAATTTCGGAAAAATCATTACCACATTCTGCTCCTTGGAAAGTAAGAAATTATGAATAATCTTATTAATCGTCTTAGAAAAATCCTATCTTATAAACTTCCATATTTCATGAATTAAGACTCTTTTAAAAGTTATGGGTGTTCTCTTTTTTCATAAAGTGTGTTGATAGAAAACTAATGGCCTATTTGGGTAATTCCCAAAAGTATATTCAAATCACATCTGGGATATACTTTTGCTAAATCCAACAAATAGTTGAATCCCTTAAATATGCTTTTTCTAGATGTAAACTAAAAATTGAACACACACTAAATCTATATGCAGCTACAATCACTTCATATGAGGAAAAACTCAGTATGTTTTTTTTTTTAATTCCATATTATCTAGTTAACAAATATAATTAGCAACAACTTAATGAACATTCTTTTCAATATTTGCACTAATCACTAGTACAAAAAGATATTTGTAAAGCAGTTTAAAAAGGCTTTCTGAATCGATTCTGGAACTGGTTTAGACAAGGGCAGTTTAGAAAGTCCAAGACTTTCTAAGCCAATTGTAACTAGAACCAGTTTAGAAAGTAAAATTTCTAAATTAAACCTTATCTAAGTTACAACCAATTTAGAAAATAGCATTTAAAAAAATAGGTCATTTTTTTGGATTGAAGGTGATTTGATTATATATAAATCAAATCACCTATTTTTTATCAAATTTATCAAATCACCTATTTTAAATCAAATCACCTCCAATCCGAAAAAAATGCCTCTATTTTTTTTTTTTCTTTGGTTATCACATAAATTTTGATAGATTTTGTAGTAAATTAGTTTTCTTTTAAAAATATCACGTATAAACTAGATAATATAATTTAAGAATAAATCAAATATATTCATTTCTGTCAATATACCAAAAAAAGCCTAAGTTTTAAACTATTAGCCTAGGCTAAGAATTATTTTGTCTCTGTTGGGTACTAAAGTAGTATATGAAACCTTCACAGCCATACTTCATTACTTCACCATCACAACAAATAACTTTTAGGGTATGAAAAATTATGCTAAAAATAGCATCTCATAATCAACAGTAATTGTACCTGCTGCATCATAACATGGTTGTCCCCCTCAAAAGTAGACTGCAGATCTTATTCAACCTTCAAATGATCAAACATGATTTTCAGTTTTACAACCTTGTCCACACAGGCTTCACGACATTCCTGATTTGTGCATAAAAAAAACTTTTATGAGGTTAAAACCAAATAATTTATCAAACCTAAAAAGCAAAGGAGAAGGAGAGAAATTTATCAAACCAGGCGAGTCCTTTAAGCTGCTGCAAGGCTATAGTAACAGCAGCTCCTGCTGTAAAGCCCACAATGGCAGCGTGAGGTAAGAAGTCAATCAAGAAACCAAGCCTGCAAAAATTCTCATAGATTGACAGCACCAAACATGTTCAAAGTTGTTATAGATGTCAAACAGCCTAGAAGTTTAAATTGAAGGGATTCTTGAAACAGTACTAGAGTTTCCATGATCATGTCCTCACCACTCAAAAAGGAAAAACAATTAGACTAAAAAAAAAAAAATTAAGTTTCCACACTTCAAGTGCAAAGGGCTTGTGTGAGTGGGCATGACAAAGATATTACTATTCCGAACCTTCATCTAAAAGTTCAAACTTTAGAATTGAAGTGGCTTTTTAACCAGAATTCAGGCAGATCAAGAAAGAAGAATATGTATTTGGGAGTCATATACTGTGTCAAGGGTGTACCAAGTAAAAGGTATACCACAGCCACTGGTACTATGGCTGAATCTCTTGAGCTTCCCATGAAAGCATAGACAAGAGGAGCCACAAATACAGATTTGCAGACACAAATGATAGCTGCAGACATAAATGATAGAGGTCACATGACATATTTGGGATTATATCCTACAGGGCTAGGACATTCAGGATCTAGGAAAACAACACGCAGAATTTGCTCCACTGTTACTTGATCGCTTTGCTCTTCAGACTGCAAATGGCATCATACAACAAAATTTCAGCATCTGAAACATTTGCATTTAATTGTTGTACTTATATAGAATCACAAGTAGTGTAGACTACCTTATCCCAAGTTTTCTTTTTTCAGATTAATATTTGAAATACAATGAATTTAGAAATTCTAAGGAAGTCAAAGAATGGATGTCATTTTCTTTATGTTTATTTGATTTCAGTGAAATTTCCAAAGTTTTGACCTAAATCCCTGGAAGGAGGCCAATAAATTTATGAGCAACTCATTCCAATTAAAAAATCTGATTCAATCAATGATACTATAAATGACCATGAAAATTCTATGCAACTTCAAAACAAGAAGTTCAATTTAATCTCACATAAACAAGAAGGAACTATAAAGATACATGCCAAAAGCCACTAAAAGAACTAACAACAAAGATGCATTTCCAGTTCTGGTACATACTCCATTTCTCCTTTCACTTTTAAACTCATAATTTTCAACTTAACCCTGCTCTTTTGATCAATCGGCTTCTCATCGTTCTCTGGGGGCTTCACAAACTTAAATACTGCCAAACAAGTTTGACCGTTATCAGAAAGATCCCACTCGTGAACAAAAGCATAGGTAAACTTAAGACAAGTGTGACAGGATAAATTACCAGTGGTGATTATACTTTCAACAGTTGCAAAATTTTAACCACCATAGTCTATCAACATTTTTCGTTTCTGCCAATTAGAGAATCCATAGAAAAAGGCAAGAAATTTCTTTTTCAGCACCATTTTCAATCTAAAAATAAAATTGTGGGACAAAGAACGAAAGTAGTAGACACATTTCCCAGGAAAAAATCAAAAAAAAAAAAGCAAGCAAATAACGGGGTCTACTACGGAAAATTACTTGTCGAAATGAAGAAAAGACAACCATTGAAAGTAAAATCAGGCAAAACCATGTTAGAGAAATTCCAGAATGAGTGAATCAAAACATTGTACAAAATAGAGAGGCAGCAGAGGGGGAATTAGCGGAATAAGCAGTTCAGGTGAGGAAGGAAGGAAGCAATCACAAGCGAGAAACACAGTAAGAGGAAGTTGAGGAAGTTTTGCCAAATTAACTAAAATGCGATATAATATTGCTAACAAAAATTTGGGTGCGAATAATAAAAAAAAAAAATCATGTAAGGGATGACAGCAACGAGCCACACCTGAAGGGCACAATGTTCATCGCAAAATCCCTAATCTAATTGTTCTCAATCTCACCATGAGAACAATTGCTGAAACGAAGCGACAAGAATGGAACTGCCACCCCGATCAACATGAACGCACTCCAAGACACAGCAAAGCTAAATACCACCACTAAAGAATGAACTGATAGACTCTGGCAAGCAAAACGAGAATGGAGAAAGTTAGGGTTTAAAGTTGGCCAATAACACGAGACCGAGAAGGTGAAGACAAGGGCCACTTGAAGAATGGAGACGGGGAAGGGCACGATGATGATGGTGGCGCGAAGGAGACGACGGACAACAGCGAGCGTGAGTAAGTGGCGTGGCTACGAGTTGAAGGAGAAGAGGGAACACGCACAAGCAGAGGGTAGTGAAGTTTTTTGAGTGTTATTTTTTTATAATATTTTGCAAGGTTTTTCTAAGGAAATTTCAATGAGGTACCATGGATCAAATATAATAAAAAAAATTATTCCTAAATTTTTAAAATTTTATTGAAGGATCTTGTATGAATTTTTTTTTTAAATTTATGATAGAAATAATAAAATTATCTTCATTTAAATAACAATATAAATGATCATTTTTATATTTTATGTTGTTCATTTACTTACGAAATGTTGTTTGTTTTCCTACTTCACTTACTTACAATCCTACTTTCATTTTATTTCATTTCAAAGCCATAAACAAATGAAATAAGTAAATGAATAATATTTCATAAATAAATAAATAATATATAATATGTGAACGAACAAATCATTTCATCATAAAACTAACACTTGGAATGATATCAAGTGAAATTAGAGCTATAAATAAGTGAAGTAAAAAAAAAACAAAATTACATAAGTAAATGAATAACATAAAGTTTGGAAACGAACAAATCATTTATATTGTTCATTTAAATGAGGGCAATTTTGTCATTTTTATCTTCAGTAAAATTTTAAAAATTTAAGGGTCCTCTTTTTTATTATATTTAGTTAAGGATCTCTCACTGAAATTTTTCCTTTTTCTATATCGATTTGTTCAGGTGTAAAATAATTTTTTTAGACCAATTCCTATTTTAATCGATCTTGTTTGTTGTCAAGTGTATAAAAAGTACAAGGATTATCACAAGCAATGACAAATTAAGGGGGCCAGTAGGGATTTGTAATCCTCAATGCTATAAAATTTCATTTACAAATAGGTAAAATTTTGTTTATAAAAAATGATAAAATTAATTTTGATTCCCTCACTTTTGATAAAATTTCATTTATGGCCCCCTCACACAATGATTTCTGGATTCATCCTTGATCACAAGTAGAAAGTTTTTCGAAGATATTATTCCTAGGAGGATTTGAGTAAAGGAAAGTTAAAATTCACCATTTAACTTTGAATTAAGTTTGGCAAAATCAAGAATAAAATTTGTTTAAAAGCAATGAAATTAGACTAAAAATAAAATTTGTTAAAACTTTGACTTCAAGAGATAAGGGCCTAAGATCATCTCTCTCTACCCTTTGTATTTATAAAACTTAATTAATTCCTTTTAAAATAATTTTTTAATGAAAATAAATGTTAGTCTAAGATTTTAATTTACTTGAAAAATATTTCTCAAGTCGAAATCAAGTATTTATGCAAACACTAAAAATTCTCAATCTCTTGAAAATAATTAATGAAAACAAGCTTGAAGCTCCAATCTAAATTTGACTATGAATGATTAGTAATATATATATATATATATATATGTATATATATATATAATATATGTATGTATGTATATATATTTTCAATAAAGCTATCTGTTTATCTTCATAAATTTCAAGTCCAATAATATTTTATTCAAATGCACAACATCATTTTTGTTCCATATGCTATGGCATATGGTCATTTTGTAGAAGTATGCCATAACATAAGTTCATACTCCACAACACACTTGGTGTTCGTGGAAGTCCCTTGTTTCTATGCTATATGTGCAACATATAGTGCATACGCCGCGACACATAACATAGAGAGTTTACTCTTCACTTGTGGTCTAATATTTACTATATTTTTGCATCCAATTACATCCTCAAACATCATTTAGCTCTTCATTATTATGATTTTCCATTAGAGGTCATCTTAAATAGTATACACAACTATGAAATTTTTCAAATATAAAATCAAAGTAAGGTTTTTACAAAAGTTGCCAATAAATTCTAACACCAAGGTCAAATTCAACCAAAGCTCATTTTCCAATAATATTCACAATTGAACCAAATAGTGAAAGAATAGAAAATATGTTGAATTGGCATTAATTTCAATAGGTTAATAGGTATAAAGTATCTTTTTTAAACTAATTGCTTTGATAGCCAATTAAAAAAGTCTTTAACTTACACTATTATTTCCAAAAAGGCCATCTCATTTATTTTCCTAAACCAATCTCATAGTAACCAATCTAGAAAGGCTAGTTTAAATAACATATTTTTCACTAGTGAAGTGGAATTTTGCTTCTTTTTCCACTTACTTGGACTTTCACCTAAAATAATAAGTGATCAAGGGGTGAGATTTCAAGGAGAAATCTCAGTAACAAATACAACCATTCAATATATTCATGTTATCACTTAAGCATATTATACAAGTGCATATAACTTTTCAACATCAACCAGCAAAGCAAAGAGTATAAGAGTTGGCAACCAATCCTCAACAAATATATCAAATTCTCTTGGTATTGTATAAATGCACAATCACGTTCAAAAAAACCTATACATTGAAACATATTTCTTTCATAAAATAGGAAAACAATGAAAGTATAAATATACTCAAGCAATTAAACATACATACAAAGAAGGGTAGTATTGCTACCTGGCATTCTTGACTCTCAAAAGTACTCAAATTATTTCTCAAACTTGAAAACCTACTATGACATTTTATTAAAATCATTAGTAACTATTCATGTCATAATCGTATGAATTATTCTAATATTCTTCTAAATTTTACCTTGAATTATAATAACTTTTCCTCTTCTACAAGATGCCAATAAGTCTGAGACTATTGATGAGTATGAATTAATATCTACTCTCTCTTTTTTTAACAATCTAAGGCAACTGATCAATTTAATAATTTATGTAAATCTATTGCATTGACTTTATGAACACTCATAGGCCAAGATCATCCCTTATAACCTCCTTCTATATTCACCAGATACAAGAGAAGATTAACTAAATTACCACTCTAAAACATCACACAGTAATCAATTACTTTATTTGAAAAGCTTGGGCCTAAGACTCGTTTTGCAAAATTATTGAAATCACAATACATTTGAACAATACGCAGTGAAAACACATATGCATTCATATAAACCATTAGATGCACTAAAAATTTCAAAATCAGGTTGGATTGTAAGCAATGTGTCATGGCATGCAATACATGCGTCACAGCATGATGCATAAAGCCACACGCCTAACTTTCTTTGTGTCATGCTCCACGATGTGTACAGTATTCATCATAGCGTACAAGTCCGAATTTGCTACTGTCATTTAAAAACAAAATGATGAACTTCTAGTATGCACTATTTTTACATACAACGTCCAATCGAAGTGATTCAAGTGCACATATGAAGTTTATCTCAAGCTAACTAATGAGACATGTTGGGACATGATCTAACGGTCCGATTAAAATTTAGACACCAGGTGCAAAAAGCCATTTTTTCTAAGAATTTCTGCACCCAAACGCTCAAATTGATTTCATTATCTCATTAGACTACACAAAGCCTTGAATTAAGTCTAAAAGGACTTATTACAGCTGATTGACCATAATATATCACATACATACACATATACTAAAATTTGACCTCTCAATGGCCAATTTTCACATTTCTCAACTCTTCACAATTTGTTACAATTTGGCCTACTTGGCCTTTTTTGCTACAGTTCCACCACAAATTCACTACTTTACACATTCACGTCATATTCCTTACTCAATCTTAACCCTAATTATTCATTTCATCACATAATTCCACACATGGGCTAATATTTACTAAAATTCACCACATTCATCATAATAGCTATACTTAACACTTATAACTATTCAAATTATACATGCAACCCTATAGCAAATCATATACTCAAAATTCACACTAAAATAATTCATTGCATAAACTTAAAGCTTCCACACAATCATAACACCACTATGCCGGTCCAAACTCTTTTCACCTACCTTGATCACTATTTTGTCTTGTAAAAATGTAACCATGTGGATGAAATAAAAATTTTAGTAACAGAATAACTCTACTATTTACTATGACATGTAACTGTATAAAAGAAAAACATAGTATATAAGTAAACATAGCACAAACACATGTTTCATTTCAAATCACAACAATACATGTCAATTCACTTTTTTTCCTCTTATTTTTCACTTTTACCACTTCTCTACATATACAACATCTAGCATGATCACTACCAACTGCACTTCCAAATTACCCTAACTTGAAACCATAGGCTCGCCTTAAACTAATATACGCTATTATTAGTCCTAAGCTCACCTTCAGTGGTGGTAGAATTACCAGGTCAAAAGTGTTTTATCTCACTTTTGGACTATGGTTTTCTCCAATACACACAATAAGGTCTCGTTAACTCCAACACCATATCACACAGACATTAAGGAGTCAAAATTTCCAACACTGCATCTTAATAGGTACTAAGCAGATAATCTCCAACAATGCACTTTGAAAGATACTAAAGAGATACAATTCTCTAACATTGAACCCTGTCGGGCACTAAGGAGAATATGTCATATGATCTTATCACCACATTCCAACATGAGTGAACTTCCACCCTTATGATCATGCTTTCCTAACCATTCATATTTTCCCAATTCACCACTTTATTCATATATGTACATATATACATTTCTATATCAAATTACACCATTTCATTCACTTGTTTAACTAAAGTTCCTTTTTATACAATAAATACAAAATACTACAAAACATGCTCAGTTTTAAAATAATTTCATGTACTATAAAGCATACTCACACACGATTACAATAAATAGTCAAATAGAGGAAGTTATTCGATTACCTCAATCCTTCTGTCACTAGAAAGGTTACTTGTGAATTTTAATTACCACTATAGCTCTTTACAATCTTCCTTTCTCAACTGACACGTGCAATATGCCAAACTAAACCTATTTGGCACAATTTGGTCAATTGGTCTAATTTGACCAAAAGCACATATTTACTAACTATGGCTACAACTAGCCATTCATTCCTTTCTACTTATCCATTTTAAGTTTATTACTACTTGATTACCATTTTACATCATCTCAACTAGTCTCATTTTACTCAAACATGATTTTTACCTTAATTTTCTCTTAGTTTAGGGCACAATCGTGCCTACGG